CCCCGGCCCTGTGGGCCGAGCCCCCCCGATACCTCCCCCCCCACACCATAGGCACGCACCATCCGGGAGTTCGACGAGCGCTACACGGCCCAGGCCTTCGGCTACCGCTCCTGCCGTGAGTACTACCAGGCGGCCAGCCCTGTGCGCTGGCTGCACCGTGTCCGTGTGCCCGTGCTCTGCCTCAACGCCTCCGACGACCCCTTCTCCCCCCTGCATGGTGAGCTGGAGGGGGAGGTGGGCCGTGGGGGGCAGTGCATGCAGACCGATGGCAGGGCATGCCGGTGGCTAACCCCCTCCCGCCATGCTTGCCCAGCCATCCCCGTGGAAGCCGCCAGGCACCTGCCCCACGTGGCGCTGTTGGTGACAGCCCATGGGGGCCACCTCGGCTTCCTGGAGGGGCTCTGCCCCCGCCCTGGCAGCTACATGGAGCGGCTCTTCGCCCAGTTCATCAGCGCTGTCTTCGAGCACAGGGAGGAGCTGCAGTAGCTGGAGGGGGATGGGGACAGGGACGGGTCTGTGGGGCAGGGTGCTGCGTGACCCCACAATAAACACCCTCCCTGCAGCTGTAGCCGTGTGTCTGTGGGCTGGGAGGGCATGGCCTAGGCCCAGAGCAGCCCCCCCCAAGCCAGGAGCAGTGCTGGAGCCAGCCCCCCGCTCCCCCCCGCCCCAGCACAGAGAGGACAGCACTGCCTTCGCACTCCAGTTTTAATGGCAGCAGTGGGGTGGAGGACTGGCGGGACCCCCTCCTTCCCGGGGCCAGCCCCGCACTGCAGCCGGCACAGTCCCGCTGGGCCGGGGCCCCGCGCGGCTCCTGGGCCCCTCGCCCCCTCCCCTCGCGCCCGTGTCGGGGGGGGCAGGGCCGGGGCTGGTCCCTCATCTGCTTCACAGTCTGCTTGGGGTGGGCCGAGGCACGGCCGAAGCTGGCCAGCCTGGGGGTTCTGTCATGGTGCTTGGGGGCGCCAGGGGGCTACAGGAACCCTGGGAAGGTGAGCTGCAGCAGTAGGATAGCGGCCACGATGAGCCCAGCGCAGAGCAGCAGCAGCAGCCAGACGGGAAGGGAGCCTGCAGAGGAGAGGGGGAGGAGGATGGGTGCTGCAGCCCCCCCATACATGCTGGAGGATGGGTAAAGACAGCCTGGCCCTGGGCTGGGGAGCAGCGGTGGGCACCCCAGCACCCATAGCAGCCCCCCCGGCACCTACGTCGGCTGGGGAGCAGGTGCAGCTTGCAGCGGCTGTCGACGGCCACGCTGAGCAGGGCAGCCTCGTTCCCCGCCAGCAGCTCCCGCCCGCCCCGGCTCTCAGGGACGAAGGCCACATCTGTCACCACAATGCCGTGTGCCTCCTTCACGTAGTACAGCCTCTGAAGGGCAGGAGGGGGGGTGGTCCGAGGCAGCCTGGCCCTGGGGTGGGGTGGCACTGGGGCTGCCCCCGCACCCCTCCCTGCCCAGCCGGCCATTCCCCAAGGAGCCCCGCAGCTCACCTGCAGTGAGAAGGCGATGTGGATGGCGACAGAGCCCGTCACCGTGCCCAGCCCCAGGAAGGTGCCTGAGTCACTGCAGGGGGGAGAACAGTGAGCAGGGGCTGGGTTGGCCCCCGGCCCCGTGCCCACCCATCCCCAGGGTACCTGATGGAGAGGCAGGAGATGACCTCATTGCCACAGGGCCGGGTCAGCAGTGGCAGAAAGCTCTTCCCATCCCATTTGGTCAGGTAGCAGGGTGGGGGGCGGCGCTCCCGTTTGTGGGGCACCTGCACCGTATAGAGCCGCAGTGCCCCGGCGTTGTCCTCCACGGCCCCGAACCTGCAGCAAGAGAGCACAGGGTGCATCGGTCCCTACAGCCAGCACCGCCACCCCACCTTCACCCAGGACTGCCGGGGGGGGGGGCCCGCTGGGGCCCAGCACCCTCTCTCCCCTCTCCCAAGCCCAAACCTGGACACAGACCAGCACCAAAGCAGACAGCAGAGCCACTCCTTCTCCCGGCCCGGGGGAGCCCCTCCCCGCAGACAAGGCAGGGACTGGGAGAAGGCTCAGTCTGGGGTGGCAGCCGCGGGGGTTGTCTGTTCCTAGCCCCCTGCCTGTGTGCCCTGGCCCCTGCCTCACCGGCAGGCCTGGTAGCGGTAAGCCTTGTCAGGGATGCCGGGCAGGTTCTCATTCCAGCGCAGCCCCGTCACCAGCTGGTCCTGCTGCCACACGCAGCACTGGAAGTCCCGTCCTGCCGTCACCACCTGCACGCAGACAGCGTGGGCGTCCAAGGACAGCTCTCCCTGTGGGACCGGGGAGCCACCCGACACTCACCTTGTTGTCAGGACCCAGCGCGATATCTTCGATCTCCCCGTCGTGGGCTTTGAACTCCAGTGTCTTCTTCATGCTGGGGAACTGCAAGGGCAGAGCAAGCATCAGAGCTGAGCCCTGCGGGCCAGGGGTCCCCGGCAGCCCCAGCACCTGGGGTTGTCAGGAAGACGCAGCGTTACAGAACCGCAGGCGCTGCTGATTTGGCACTGCTGGGGCCTGGCCTTCTCTGCTGGATGCACGCTACTGCCAGGGCGGTGATGCCCGGCCTCGGCTCCCCCCACGCCTACCTCCCAGAGACGAAGGAAGCCATCAGCACCGCCAGTAACGAGCAGAGAGCAGTCAGCGTTGAAGCAGACGGCCTTCTGCAGGGCATCGGGGCTGAAATCCGTGCGGACGCTGTGCAGGCTCTCCACCGTCACCTCGCTCGTCTGGCTCTGTGTGTCACCCTGCCCTGCCGGGCTGGGGCCCTTCCGCTTCCGCGGCCCCTTCTCCCCACTGCCTGCGGCGGGGCAGACGGCACGGATCCCTGACACAGCTCCCTGCCGCCAGGCAGGCTGAGCCCGGGAGTCCAGGGCAGGCCTGGCGGGGCGGTTCAGGGCACTGCCCCATCTCCAAAGCACCCCACTGACCACCCAGCTCCCCACACCCTGCCCCACAGCACCCAGGGCAGGTGCTGTCACGCCGCCCCACCCCCCTCCACTGCCCCGGGGGAGAGTGGGACCTCACCGTTGCGGCCGGCCGAGCCGCTCTTGGCCTCGGGCACCTGCAGGCTGAAGCGAAGGATGTGGCAGCTGGCGTCCTGCCCCGCAGCGATGATGTCGTCGGCCAGCGCCATGGTCATAGTGGCACGGGTCTCCGTGTCGTGGGAGTGGAGCAGGGAGGCGCTGAGCTGCCCCCCGATCTGCTCCAGCTGCAGGAAGTGCTGCGGGACAGGGCTCGGTCTCAGCCCCCACCGGGCCCGCTCCGGCCGCCCCCACCCCGGGGCCGCCCCCGCAG